ATACGTTGTAGCGCCACCTTTTGCTGCGATTACAGCTGTAAATCGCTTGGGGTATGTCTCTATCAGTTTTGCACATCGAGAGACTGAAATTTTTGCCCATGCCTCCTTGCAAAACAGCTTGGTAGCAACTTGACCAGCTGCATCACTGTCTGGTATGGCAGCACTACTGCTATGGACCGCAAGCACCTGCAGAGATTGGTAAAGACTGCGGAGAAGATCACCAGGACTCCACTGCCCTCTCTGCAGTGCATTTACCACCACAGGGTGCATAGGAAAGCTGCTTCCATCCTCAAGGACCCCACCCACCCCCAGCATGGACTGCTCTTATCCCTACCCTCCAGTCAGAGGCTCAGAAGTATGAAATGCAGGACTTCTAGACTGAAAAACTCTTTCCTTTCGACTGCCATCAGACTCCTAAACAGCTGACTCAGGATCTACCTCATGTAATTCCATCTGTACTGTTTACATACTCATTTTGCACATGTACAGTTACACACTCACTGCTGAGTATTTATATTCCATGGCTCCCACGTAGCATATATTCTCTCTGCATTATATTGTGTTCTTGTTGTATTTTTATTTGCTCCCTTCACTTGCTGCTTTAAAGTACATTTGATTTGTGATTTTACTGCCTAATTAAATTTGTGTTATTGCTCATCTACTTTATATTTCACATATATTATGTGGCATTCATGTGAATGGCAAAGTAAGAATTTCATTGTACAGGGAAACATGTTTCCTAGCTGTGCATATGACAAATAAACACTTTGACCTTTGGTCTTGACCTGCTGATTTATGCTTCACGGAGACTTGGCTCAGTGACTCCACAGCAGACAGCACGATACAAGTACCAGGCTTCCAGGTGTACAGAGCGGATTGCATAACGGAGCTGTTCGGGAAGACGAGGGGAGGTGAAATCTGTTTTTACATAAATGAAAGTTCATGGACAGATGTCACAGTGCTACAGAGGACATGTAACATATACTTAGAGACTCTTGTTTTCAACTGCAAACCCTTCTATTCTCCTCAAGAATTTTCGAGCTTCATCCTGGCTTCTATTTAAAACCGAACGCCTACACCAGCACACTACAGCTCCTGGCCGAACTGATAACTAGTGTAGAACTGGAACATCCCGACTCCACACTCATTGTTCTGGGGGACTTCAACAGAGCAAATCTCACCCAAGAATTGCCCAAATACAGGCAGTATGTCACCTGTCCCACAAGGGACAAAATCACACTGGACCACTGCTACTCAGCAATAAAAGAAGCCTATCGTTCTGTCCCCTGTGCAGCCCTTGGACACTCTGATCACCGTATGGTCCATCTTATTCTGATAGACAGGAAGCAGCAAGTGTGGCTGGGGAAAACCACATCCAGCTCCCGGACAATAAGCACAGGCACCCCCCCAGGGATGTGTGCTCTCTCCTCTGCTGTTTTCACTCTACACCAACAACTGCATATTGAAGGACCCCTCTGTCAAGCCCCTAAAGTTTGCTGGTGATACAATGGTCATCAGTCTCATCTGAGACGGTGACAAGTCAGCCTACAGACGGGACGTGGAGTAGCTGGTCCTATGGTGTAGCTGCAACAACCTAGAGCTGAACACACTCAAAATGGTGGAGATGACAGTGGATGTCTGTACATCGTACAGATTATGCAGATTTGTAAAGGTCTGTATTTTTATTTTTAAGTACTCCATTTTATTCAAATTTTATCTCATCTCCCAATGAACATTACTTTGTCTGACTGCATTGTTAACTGCCTGTTTATACTGTTCATTTTTTTATACTACACAGCCTTATGTTGGTATATTGCTTACTTGCCCCTTGCTGTTGCCTTGCATGGGGATATGTACGTGCACATTGAGAGCTGCCGTACCAGAGTCAAATTCCTCGTGTCCAGCACACCTGGCCAATAAAGCTGATTCTGATTCTAAGTGAAAATTAAATCTAACTCCCCTTGAGTATAAATGTAATAATTTTTTAATAATTTTATGTATTTGTTTATATTATTTTGTTGTATGTATTATTGTATTATTTTATTTTATTTTATTAAACCTGACCTGCACCCCTCCCTGGAACCGACGCCTTAATATGGTGGAGGGGTTTGAGTGCCTGAATGGTCCCAGGAGCTATGTTGTCAGGGGCTATATGTCCCTGGTAGGGTCTCTCATGGCAAACAGGTCCTGGGTGACAGACCAGACAAAGGGCGGTTCATAGGCCACCTATGGCGAACAAAAAAATCAAGGCTTACGTTTACCCCACCTGGTATGGGGTCACTGGGGCCCCACCCTTGAGCCAGGCCTGGGGGAGGGGCTTGCATGCGAGCACCTGGTGGTCAGACCTATACCCAAGGGGCCTGGTCGGGCTGAGCCCAAAACTACAAAGTGGAGCCACTCTTCGGTGGGCCCACCACCTGTTGGAGAGGTTGTAGGGGGCATTGTGGTTGGGGCAGTGGCCAGGGCCGAGTGCCCGGCCGTCCCAAACCTCAGACACCAACTCTGGTTTTTGGGACTTGGAATATCACCTCACTGGTGGGGAAGGAGGCTGAGCTGGTGCAGGAGGTGCATAGATAGGGCTCTGGAACCATTTTTTTCGACAAAGTGTGGACCCTCCTCTATTCTGGCGTTGCTCAGGGGGAGAGGCAACAAGCTGGTGTGGGCTTGCTTATAGCCCCCCAGCTCAGTCGTCAGGTGTTGGAATCTACCCCGGTGGATGAGAGGGTCATTTCCCTGCGCCTTTGGGTTGGGGAACGGTCTCTCACTGTTGTTTTTGCTTACGCACCTAATGGCAGTGCAGAGTACCCGGCCTTTTTATTGTTCCTGGCGGGCATGTTGGATAGTGCTCCCATGGGGGACTCTGTCATCCTACTGGGGAACTTTAATGCCCACGTGGGCAACGACAGTGATAGCTGGTGGGGGGTGATTGGGAGGAATGGCCTCCCTGATCTGAACTCGAGTGGTGAGTTGTTATTGGATTTCTGTGCTTGTCATGGTTTATCCATAACGAACACCATGTTCAAACATAGGGGTGTCCATCAGTGCACATGGCATCGTGACACCCTAGGTTGGAGGTCAATGATCGACTTTGTAGTTGTTTCCTCTGATCTTTGGCCATATGTTTTGGACACTCGGGTGAAGAGAGGGGCTGAAGTGTCAATTGATCACCACCTGGTGGTGAATTGGATTTGATGGTGGGGGAAAAACCTGGACAGACCTGGCAGGCCCATGCATATGGTGAGGGTCTGCTGGGAACATCTGGTGGAAGCCCCTGTCAGAGAGGTCTTCAACTCCCACCTCTGACAGAGCTTCAAACAGGTGCCGAGGGAGACTGGGGACATTGAGTCCAAATAGACTATGTTCCGGCGTCCGCTGGGAGGTGTGGCCGTAAGGTCTCCGGGGCTTGTTGTGGTGGCAATCCTCGAACACGGTGGTGGTCACCGCAAGTAAGGGATACCATCAAGCTGAAGAAGGAGCTCTATCAGGCCTGGTTGGCTCATGGGACTCCTGGAGCAGCTGGCAGGTACCGACAGGCTAAGCAGGACGCAGCCCTGGCAGTTGCCATGGCAAAAACACGGGCCTGGGAGGAGTTCGGTGAGGCCATGGAGGAAGACTTTTGGTTGGCTTCAAAGAGATTCTGGAGAACTGTCTGGCGGCTCAGGAGGGGGAAGCAGTGTTCTCCTAACACTGTTTACAGTGGAGGTGGTGTGCTGCTGACCTCAACTGAGGATGTCGTAGGTCGGTGAAAGGAGTACTTTGAAGATCTCCTCAATCACCCCGACATGCCTTCCATAAAGGAAGCCAGGGCTGGGGACTCCAGAGGGGGGGTGGATGAGGTCTGCCCCGAGTTTCTCAAGTCTATGGATGTTGTGGGGCTGTCTTGGCTGACACGCCTCTGCAGCATTGCGTAGAGCTTGGGGACAGTGCCTCTGGACTGGCAGACTGGGGTGGTGGTCCCCCTTTTTAAGAAGGGGACCGGAGAGTGTGTTCGGTGAGTGTATTGCTGTAATATCTGAATCACATCTGATTAAGAAAGTTGCTATTATTATTATTACTACTACTACTACTAAGCAATAACTAACTTTCCAGCAACTAGAAGCTATCACATTTTTTCATAAATGACTTCTTCTATTAAATAAAGAAGCGTCTTAGAAATACTAACGTTAGTTTAAAGCTTGTATAAAAAGACTGAACTTCCCTTGCCAATGACTCTCTACCAAACGTTTCCTGTTGGCAATCTAAATTCCAGGTTCATTTAGTAATTTGTCATAGGGACAAAGTTATAATTCACTCTCTTAAGTCAAAGAAAATGAGTGCAGGTAAACCTTAGGGATTAGGGGTAAACCTTAAGTCACTTAGGGGTGAATAAGAGCTGCATTCTAAGCAGTAAAGATTACACTGCTGTCCTGTAGTCTGTGAATGTTTTACCTTCAGGGTGCGCGCTCTCGCGGAACTCATGCACTTTTGGACAGGCAGGAAGTCTGGCGCCAAATCTGTGATTTTTTTTTTAAATAAAAAGCAAGTTGAATAATCTACATTTACTTTATAAACAGAATTGTATCGCATGTGATACATATGTGGTAAGTTTTTGTTAATGTCATTTTAATACATAAACTGTTGTCATGTTTACGTGGGAGGTCAAAGGTTATTAACAAAATGGCGGAATGCACTGGAGCTATAGTGACAATTCTATGAGCAGCCGGTCAGTTCTGGTATATTTGGAGCTTCTGATGCCTGTTGTTTGCCGCGCTCATTATATCACTCATTATATAGACCCGGTGTCTTTTTTTATATATACAATCCTGAGTGCTAGTCGGTACAGCTGTGTCCGAGGGATACAAACCGAAATGAAGCACTCGTTACAGAGAGGCTAGTACGGTAACTGTAACGATCACAGTTTTGACGCCGATCTTCGTTCGTCTGTTACATATCACGTTTTTGTTAGCGTCAGAGGAAACCTTTTTACCTGGCAAATGAATGAGTTTGGTGAAGCTAGTTAGCAAAGTAGCCCAACAAGGAAACATCACGTTGCACTGTTACGGCATGTTGAAACTTCATCCAGGACACAACTAGAACCGGAGATGAACAGAAAGAAGGATAAAGGATTCGAGAGCCCACGCCCCTTTAAATTATAAGTACTTTTTTAAAAATAATGTTCTTATAATGTTGATCGTGGCAAGAAATGGACGACATGGTCTGAAATCACACATATAGTAAAGCAATGCTAGCTAATGTTAGAATAAGATCATTAACTCTTGATTAACGTTAGCATAAAGACAGTGGGGTTACAAGTAACGTTACACAAACAGTTGAGTAATATTTCTGCGTATTTGGTGAGAAAGGAATATGTATTTCAGTTCATACTCCAGATTTACAACACACATTGATATTGTTTTGGTATTTCAGTTCATACTCCAGATTTACACCACACATTGATATTGTTTTGTGCTACTGCTTTTATACGACCCACCAGGTGGTGTGCATCAACAATATCAACTTCCAGAGGAAGTCTGTCATTGTGAGTAACAGCACCTCCAGTACAGTATACCACAGAGTAAAGACGGCCATTAACGTTACAGAGTTGCATCCTGTTCAGTCACTTCACTCCTGCACCATTTGTAATATCGTAGCTGATGGTGACAGGTGACTGCTAGACCATAGTGTGCCTTTTTCTGTCCACCATACACACCACACACTGAATAAGGAAAACCTAATGAACAGTTAGTCTTATAATTCACAATTTTTATTTTTGAGATGTTATGCAGATATTGTGTCAGATTTAAGCTTATTATTGTGTTACAACCCCACAGAGGAATGTTATAACTCACAAGGATGTGGAAAGACTTTGCTGCTACATTATAGATACTTGTGTTTGCAACATGGGTGAATAAACCCACAGCTCACAATGAAAATCACCTGATGACATCTGTAGTCCAACCTTTTCCTCTCTTGGATTCCTTAGGGCTATGTTGAGCTGACTATTTTCCCCACAGTGGTCAACTTGAACAGGGTCAAGCTTAACAGCAAACAGTGCCGCATTTACAGGGTTCGAGTCAATGAGCTTGAAGCCCCATTTATTTACAATGACCCCACACTGGAGGTGTGCCATCATGAGTCCAAGCAGTGAGTATATCAGTGTTCGTTACTTGTGCAACTTTTCAATACTGGAGTAGCTTTAAAAAACTAAAAAAATACATTACAGTGAGGTTTTGTGTGGGGTAAGAGCCTTATATCTGTTATTTATTAAGTAGAAAATGTATTAGAAAGAAAATATTTGTATATACCTCATCACATGCTGGGCATATTATTGTTAATATTAAGTAATATTGTCTGTCTACATTATGAGGAGCTGTATGGCAGTGATATATATTTTTTATAAATGTTTTATGTCTGTGTAGGAGGAATCTTAACTACTTCTCTAGTGCTTATACTGCAGCAGTGAGTGCTGTGGACCCTGATGCAGGACATGGGGAGCTGGTCATCAAAGTTCCTTCTGAATTCTGGAAACAAGGAGATGGTAAGGGTTGATGCATAAAGGCCAGTAAGAATTAAAGAGCCTCACAGTGTTTTAGCTTGATTTAGAAATGTGAAGTTTTCAGAGTATAAAAAAGTTAGCATTTTGACAACAAATGTCATCATCATCACAAAATAGTTGTGAAAACACACAATTCCTTATGGCACGGATTGATATAGTCATATGAAATGCATTTTTTCACAGAATACAATGGGATTTTATACTATGGATATTTGCAGAAATCTAATCTAAACAGTAAGATTGTGTTTAATATACCAGTGTTCCTGGGTTGTGTCTCTCCAGATTTGAAATTTTTAAAGGTTTACATAGAATTTTCCTTGGACCAGCCAAAAGGGGGGCTCCACTTTGTTGTTCCTGATGTGGAGGGCAGCATGGCGGACAGAGGAGCTCATGTGTTTTCCTTTGGGTACCAGAACTCCACCAGGTATCAAAACATGTTCATAAAATCCTGTTTTACAGGCACTGATCCAGATATCATGTTTTAGTAGCTTCCCAGACATGAAATTGCTGATAAGCTTATAAAAATTAATTCCAGCAAAATTAAACCATGCTAGATATCACCAGGTATATCGCTCTAAGTGCTGGCATGCCACTGAAGGTACTCTTGACAAGATTTTTGGTGTGACATTTAGCTCCTTGTTTAAAAGTTTGTAAAATTTAAAAATTTTGGTTGTTGGATATGATCCAGTTTCTACCTACAGAAGTGACACAGTATGAACAAAACAGGTGGCATGTGCTCTGCATTAATGCATCTACAGGGTCAGTAGAACCTCTTTCTGGTCTCTTTGGTTTCCTCTGCTATAACACAAGCACAGGCATGTCAGTTTTTTAAACTGGCCTTTGCTGTTGATGTTTTATGTGTAATATTTTTACCTATTCCAGAAGTTAAAACCTTTCAGCAGTTCTCTGTAGCTGTTTATTAGGCTGTCTTTGTGCACAGCTACCTGTTAAGGCTTTAACCTTTGACTAGCCACTGGTCCTCCAGCACAACAGGATGCTAGCATTATGTAGATCTTTGATTGCCACACTAAGAAGTTAAACCATCCTTAAACCATTATCTATCTAAATTAGGTAGTAAAAGGGTGTTGTTATAACCCTGTTTTTTTTCCTGTAAGCTCCCTACCTGGACTCTCTTTGCCTCTAACATTTCTGGTGTTTAAGTGCAGACTAACACCTATAGCTGGTTAACAAATTGCACTGTTAAAGCCCACAATAGCATTAGTCATTGTAGTTAGTTTTGTTTTTCCACTGTGTTTAAAGGTTATATAAATTGTCTTGTCCAACAGATTCTGGTTCCCCTGTGTGGACTCTTACTCAGAACTGTGTACGTGGAAGCTGGAGTTCACCGTGGATGCGTCCATGGTGGCAGTGTCCTGTGGCGATCTGGTGGAGACCATCTACACCCATGACATGAGGAAGAAGACATTCCACTATGTTCTCCCCATCCCCACAGCAGCCCCTAACATCTCCTTGGCTGTGGGGCCCTTTGAAATCCTTGTAGACCCCTACATGCATGAGGTGGGTGGGTTTAACGATGATGCTGCTGCATGTTGGTTGGGATATATTGAAAAGAACCTCTTTATTGCTGTTCCAGTGTCTACATTGATTATTTTTGGACCAGTAAAAGGTAAAATGATGTGATTCATTTCCTAAAATGTGATTTTACTTTGAGGAAATTAAATAGTAAGCATAGTGTTAGGTAAACATAATGGCTGGTGCTTTCAGTAACACAAAGAAGAAGTCGAAAGAGCTAACAACTCACATCATGCAACCAACTCTTAGGAATAACATGATTAGATTGTATAACATTGTAGAGGTCTTTTTCATTGTGCTGATCGAGCTAGTGGTGATTAATAGAAAAATAGTGGACAAAAAAAAATCATCAGTTCAATGTTAAAGTTATTTATCAAGCACGAAATGCAAAATGCCATGCATTCTCTGATTCCAGCATCTCAAATGTGAGGATCTGGTGCTTGTTTATGATTTCTAACCCCATAAAATGAGACTTTGGGGGTGTGAGACTTTTGGTCATTTGAAAAAAGCAAATTTGAAGAAGACCTCTTTTCGTTCTGTGAACCTTTGATGGGCAGTTTTCAAATGTTGTTAAAAATAATAATTTTGGAGATGAAATGATTCTGAATATAACTTGCATCTTTAAAGGGTGTGACCCCTAGAATGACACACCAAAAGTTCAGACAACAGATACTGGAAAATACAGAGGGAGTTGCATCAGTGACTAGCAGCGAGTGACAGCGCTGATACAGTCAGGGAAAAAATTATTCATATAATTTTTATATACATACATACATACATACATACATACATATATAAAAATTATATCCAGCTGATTTTATAAGTTTGCCCACTAACAAAGAAATGATCAGTCTACAATTTCAATGGTAGGTTTATT